CATCTACCCCCTACCCCTTACCGCCTCCCCCGTACCCCTACCCCTACCCCCTACCCCCCCCCCTACCCCTACCCTACCCCTACCCCATACTCTTACCCCTACCCTCCCCCCTACCCCCTACCCCTTCCCCTACCCCCTACTCCCTACCTCCTACCCCCTACCCCTACCCCTCCCCCCTACCCCTACCTCCTACCTTACCCCCTACCCCCCCTACCCCTCCTTTCTCCCTCCGCCAGGACGACGCTGGGCGGAGAGCCTCACCATGCCCAGTGTGAGATGTACGTGAGGAACTACAGCCTCGTGACTAAGCTGACGTGGGAAGAAGCTTTCCTGGCGGCTCCTGAAGGCGAGGGAGAGGGCGGGCTCCAGCGGCGGCCTTGCACCAGCTGGGATTACGACACGGAAGTCTTCCAAACTACGCTGATCTCGGAGGTGGGTGGAGATAGTGCGGAAAATGTTGGTGAAAAGGAGGTGGTGGAGAATAGTCAAGGAAATGTAGGTTTGGTGGTGGTGAGGAATTGTTGGTGAAAAAGGCGGTGGGGAAATGTGTAAGAAAATGAATAACGAAATATGAATAAGTAAAAATGTAGGTGAAAGGGAGTGAAAAGGAGGTGGGTGGAAATGTATAAGAAAATGAATAAATAAATGTATGAATAAGTAAAAATGTAGGTGAAAGGGAGTGTGAAAAGGAGGTGGGTGAAAATGTATAAGAAATGAATAAGTGAAAATGTTGGCGAAAGGGAGTGAAAAGGAGGTGGTGAAATGTATAATAAATGCATAAATAAATCTATGAATAATAAAAATGTAGAAGGGAGGTGGGTGAAAATGTATAAATAAATAAATAAATAAATCTATGAATAAATAAAAATGTAGAAGGAGGTGGTTGAAAATGTATGAGAAAATTAATAAATAAATCTATAAATAAATTAAAATGTAGGCAAAAAGGGGTGTATGAAAATGTATAAATAAGTGAATAAAAAATCTGTAGATAAATGAATAAAAAATCTGTAGATAAATGAATAAAAAATCTATAAAGAAATAAAAATGTAGATAAAAAGGAATAAAAAAGAAGTGAGTGAAAATATAGAAGTATAGATAGATGAATAGATAAAAAGTAAAAAAAAAATGTGGATGATGTTGAAAAAAGAAAGTGGGTGAAAAATATAGGATTATGTAGATGAACGTTGAAAAAGTTGGTGAGTGAATTAGAAAAAGAAAAAGAAAAAAGAAGTGAATTGGAGATGTTGAAGGATTTGCAAAAAGTAAATATGTGTAAAAAATGGATAAATGTGTAGACAGGATTCCCGCACATCCATAAACAAATCTTAAATACATTTTGGGAAATATAAACCCTTAAAAAACAACAACTAAAAACTCAGGTCTTAAAATATCTTAAATTTGCCCAAGACACATCTTCCTTCGCGTAACTTCGTTAGCGTTTGTCCTTTGCTGATCGACACGACCGTTCACTTATAGGCCGTGTGCAAATAATAATAACAATAATAGATAAATAAATAGATAATAAAGATAAATAAATAAAAGAATAAAGAAAATCAAAAATCAAAAAAAATAAAATAAAAAAAAATAAAAGGTAAAATTAATAGGTTAAACATATGAAAAGATAAAATAAAAGGATAAAAATAAATAAATAAATAAATAAAAAAATACAAAAAATGAAAAATCTTTCTAGCGCACAATATACCCCTAGAGGTATAAAAAATATCAGGATGAATTATTTATCTTGCTCACTGACGCGACAAGTAGGCCTACATATTAAAGGGGACCGTGTATTCAGCGACAAGTGGCTCCAGGTCTTAAAAAGCATTTGGTTACGTCTTAAAAAGTCATAAAACGCAATTGGTACGTGTTAAAAAGTTAAAAAGCAATCGGTACGTCTTAAAAGTCTTAAAGATCAACTGGTAGTCTTAAAATGCAATTGGTACGTATTAGAAATTCATAAAAAGCAATTGGTACGAGTCTTAATAAATTTTAAAAAGCGATTTGCACGTCTTAAAAAGTCTTAAAAAGCAAATGGTCGAGTCTTAAAAAGTCTTAAAAAGCAAATGGTACGAGTCTTAAAAAGTCTTAAAAGCAATTGGTACGTCATAAAAAGGCAATTGGTACGTCTTAAAAAGTCTAAAAACAATTGGTACGAGTCTTAAAAAGTCTTAAAAGCAATTGATACGTCTTAAAATGCAATTGGTACGTCTTTAAAAAGTCATAAAAGGCAATTGGTACGCCCTAAAAAAGTCTTAAAAGCAATTGGTACGTCTTAAAAAGTTTAAAAAGCAAATGGTACGCCCTAAAGTCTTAAAAAAGCAATTGGTACGTCTTAAAAGTCTTAAAAAGCAATTGTACAGTCTTCAATAAGTCTTATCACTTATACGCTACAAGAACCCTGGTAGATGGAAAAGGCAGATAGATGGTGAAGCTTCGTCTGCAAGGCTTAAATGTTTATAATATATTTGAGGATAGTTAAGTGTATTGCCCATTATTTTAAGGCCATGTGATACTATATATGAATATGTGCGCATACACACACATTCATATGTATCCAACTGTCAGTTTGTCTACATTTATATCTGACCGTCTGTCTGTCCTCTCTCTATCCACATATCTTTTCTCTCTCTATCCACATATCTTTTTCTCTCTCACATATATATATTTGTGTATATTATTATCTATCTATCTCTATCTATCTATCTATCTATCTATCTATCTATCTATCTATCTATCTATCTATCTATCTAATCTATCTATCTATCTATCTATCTATCTATCTATCTATCTTATCTATCTATCTATCTATCTATCTATCTATCTATCTTCTATCTATCTATCTTTATAATCTATCTATCTATCTATCTATTTATCTATCTGTATGTATATATGTATATATATATATATATATATATATATATTCATACACATATGCTAAAAATTGAATATAGATATAGATACGTGCGTGTGTGTATATTTATGTAATTATACATTTCTCTTATTTTGCACCATATCTTCCCACTTCTTTTTATTTTATTTATTTCTTTCTCTTGTGCATTATCACACCCATGCAATATCTCTTCCATGAAAGGATAATAATAATAACGATACTGATGAAAGAATAATGATAATAATAACAATCACAAAATCCCAACCCAAATGAATAGGTTTAAAAAATGAATAAAAATAACAACCATATACTCCCAAACCAAATAAATAAATAGTTTTTTACCAAATAAATAAAAACACCAGACACATTTCCCTGGAATTCCCTCTCGTCCAACACCCTAAGCGCCTTTTAAGATAAGCCGAAGAAACCAGCTTCGGAAACAAGAATTAAACACGTTTTCCCTTCCCGATTTCCAGTGGGACTTGGTGTGCGGGAAAGAAGGGCTCAAGTCGCTGATCCAGAGCATATTCATGGTCGGTGTGTTCTTTGGAGCCCCGCTGGGAGGGTACTTCGCTGACAGGTAAGGAATGGGAGGGAAGGGAGGGATGGGAGAGGGGGAAGGAAGGAGGTGGGATATGGAAGAGGAGAGAGAGGTGGGAGGGAGGGAGGGGAGGAAGAGAAGGAGGGAGTGGGAGATGGAAGAGGAGAGATGGAGGGAGGGAGTGGGAGGGAGTGAGGGTACTTCGCTGACAGGTAAGGAATGGGAGGGAGGGAAGGAGGGGAGAGGGGAAGGAAGGAGGTGGGAAGGGAAGGGAAAGGAGGGGGAGAGGGGGATGAAGGAGGTGGGAAGGAGGAAGGGAAGGAAGGAGGTGGGAGGGAGGGAGGGGGAAGGAGGGAATGGAAGGAGGGGGAGGAGAGAGAGAGGGGGAAGGGAAGGGAGGTGGGAGGGAGGAAGGGAAGGAGGGAGGGGAAAAGAGGGAAGGGAAGGAGAATGGAGGAGGAGAGCGGGGAGGAAGGAGCTGGGAGGGTACTTCGCTGACAGGTAAGGAATGGGAAGGAAGGGAAGGAGAGAGAGAGGGGGAAGGAGGGGGAGGAGAGATGGAGCGAGGGAGGGAAGGGAAGAGAAGGAGGTCTGAGGGAAAAGGAGATGGAGGGAGGGAGAGAGGGGAGGAGGGAAGGAGGGAGGGTACTTCGCTGACAGGTAAGGAATGGGAGGGAAGAAAGGAGGGAAGGGAAGGAGAGAGAGAGGGGAAAGGAGGGAATGGAAGGAGGGGGAAGGAAGGAGATGGAGGAGGGAGGGGGAAGGAGGGAAGGGAAGGAAGGAGAAGAGAGAGGGAGGGAGGGAAGGGAAAGGAGGGAAGGGAAGGAGGGGGAGAGAGTTAGAGGGAGGGAGGGAGAGGAGAGATGGAGGGAGGGAGTGGGATATGGAAGAGGAGGGAGAGAGGGGAGGAGGGAGGGAGGGAGGGTACTTCGCTGACAGGTAAGGATGGGAGGGAAGGGAAGGAAGGGAAGGAGAGAGAGAAGGGGAAGGAAGGAGAGAGACAGGGGGAGAGGGGGAAGGGAGGGAGGGTACTTCGCTGACAGGTAAGGATGGGAGGGAAGGGAAGGAGGGAGAGGAGAGATGGAGGGAGGGAGTGAGGGTACTTCGCTGTCAGGTAAGGAATGGGAGGGAGGGGAAGGAGGGGGAGGAGAGATGGAGGGAGGTGGGAGGGAGGGAGGGAAGGAAAGAGAAGGAGATGGGAGGAAGGGGGAGGAGGGTAGGGAAGGAGGTCTGAGGGAAGGGGAGGAGAGATGGAGGGAGTGGGAGGGATGGAAGAGGAGGGAAGGGAAAGGAAAGGAGGGAGGTGGGAGGGAAGGAGGGAAGGTACTTCGCTGATAGGTAAGGAGTGGGAGGGAGGGAGAAGGAGGGAAGGGAAGGAAGGAGGAGGGATGGATAAATGGAGGATGGAGTGGAGGGAGGGAGAGAAGGGCGGAGAGAGGGAAGGGAAAGATAGAGAGGGAAGGAAGGAGGAGGGAGGGAGGGAGGTTACTTCGCTACCAGGCAAGGAGTAGGAGGATGGAAAAGGAGGGAAGGGAAGGAAGGAGGAGAGATAGTAAAGAGTGGGAGGGA